ACAGTTATAAACATTCAATGTCACTTGTTTATGACCGCAATAACAATGCTGACAACAATGACACTGTCACTGCCACCAACAACAAAACATACTATAACTCATTTTGGGTAAAAATGTCATCTAGTACATAAATTAAACATTTAAACAAAATGGCTACCAGTCAGCCATTTTGAATTTGATCTGAAAAATTAAATGACGTGCATCAGGAACCCGAAATCTCTAATGTATGTACCAAGTTTGAACAAAATCCATCCATAAACACCAAGATCCAGTTCTGGAATGCCAGGTTTACACAAAACATATAAAATATTGGTATTTATAAAGGAAGAAAACCTCCACCTATATATATAATGAATAAGATTTCAAATATTGGTCCCTTAGAAATAGAATAGAGCATGTAGCTTTTAACACGTAATAAACTGTGACAGTTAAGTGTCTCTATATTTAGTAACAGTGTTCTATCATCTAAGTGTTGGATTGCCGATATATGACGGCTGTGTTACTTGTTAAGTACCTGTTTCTGTTTCAACACAGGAAAGCACTCAGATAATAATAATACGTTGCAGAACGGTCAAAGTTGCAAAATTTTGCTGAATTTATGAATAATATTCCAAAATGACTGATAGCACAGCAAATCATTTGAAATTAATTAGGTTTAATTAAAAGATTCATTAAACATATTTTGTTTGTATTTATTGATGCCGTTCACACGCAATGATGCAGAGAGATTAGGAACGACGTCAAAAGATCAATGTCGGATAAAAAACTTATTTCCTTTAGTTCGGGGGTGGGGGGTTTTGACCTCAAAAAGTTTCCATCCGACAAAATTGATTTTATTCTTTAATGAAGTCAAAAAAATCTTGGAGTATTTGTAGTTCGTTTTTTTTTTCTATCCAATAATGGACAGAAATAACCGAAAAGGGAAAAAACAGAAAAATGTATGGTTCGAGTGTAAATCTGTGCGTCAAATGAGGTGCATTTGTAAAATCTTTTTACACCCACCCGACAACCAACGTCTATGCAATACTACTGTCCGATTATCAATTTGTATTTAATGGTGAATGTAGTCTGACGCTATGACCAATATTTATCAATTAAGTTTCAGTGGGGGGTTTGGAAAAAAACTAAAGGAATTAAGTTTTTTATCCGACATCGATCTTTTGATGTCGTCCCTTATCTGATCTACAAAACTCCTAGTCCTTTACCCACAGTTCAGCAATACCTGGGATTGCACCAATGCATCATGGGAAATTAAATTTGAAAAGTTCTCACGTATATAAACATTACTGGAACTAACGTTTTATGTATACCACAGCCCGCCTTGTAAGGGCACAATGTCACTTACAGTTTAATTGACACTTTGATATGAATAAACTTGTTATTTATGTTTTGATGTTATTGATTTACAGCCGTTCTGAGAATTATTCGGACAGTCAGTTAGCAAAATGACTTGCAACTTTGCAAAACACTTTGGTCTTTGCCCAATCTAGACTTGGTGGTGCCACTTGATTGATAGGCGCGTGGTTTGGGATTACTATTTCATAGGGGTTGTCAGCATGGTGAATTGCAAGTATTATCTAGCGTGCGTTTACAGCAACCATTCTTTATTTTTTATTTTGTAATTATTTGCAGTCAATCAACCTCTCGCTCATTTTAGTAAGTTGTACCTGTTACAAAAATGGACTAGACATAACGGTTGTCAAACCCTCGTCATTTTCAAACTACAGTTGAACAAGCCATGCATGGCACAGTCCCTGTTAGTTATCAAATTTAAGGTACTGTGGAATACTTTATTTTCGTTGGAATTAATTTTCGCTGAAAAGGCTTTTTGTGCATTTTGTATGGAATTTATATTCACTGATTTTCGATGAGTTTAATGTGAAATATAGGAAAAAAAGTATATTCGCTGGATTTTATTTTTACGGAATTATCCCTTCAGCGAAAATAGCGAAAATAAATTCCAAGCGAAAATAAAGTATTCTACAGTATATAGTTTTGTTTATAGTAATATAGTAACATATACATGTCAGAAGTATGGATCCAGAAGATGATGCTTGATTAGGATGATTTTTGAACATTAAAATGATTGACAACTTGTATGTGATTGTCAAACGAGTACTTGTCCATATTGAGAGATATTGCTCTGGAACAGCATTGATTAAAACAAAATGGCCACCAGTTGGTCATTTTGAATAAATCTATATATCTATAGCATGATGTAAAATGAGTATATGAAATTTTAACATAATCAGTCACAGCATACCAGAGATATGGCTCTAGAAGCACATTCATTTAAACAAAATGGCCACCAGTCAGCCATTTTGAATCCGATCTGCTTGATTTTGATGATTTTTTAGCCAAAAATGGCCACCATTCGGCCATTTTGAATTAGATCATGAAACAAATTGATGTGCCTATGTATAATATCAAGTATGATGTATGTGTGAAGTTTGATTGTGATTGGTCCAGGCATTTCTAAGATACAGAACAAAGGTCAAAACATAAGCCCCCGTTTTCGGATTGCATCTGAATGAGGACTAAAAAGTGATTCGCTCAAGGAAGGCACACTCCATCAAACCATTATAATCAAATTCACCATCCGTGTATCCCTGATGTACTCTTACACCTCGTTATAAAATCTGAATTTGATACATAATGCACCAGTAATATAAAAACAATTTTTAGTTTGACTCAAAACTGTCGCGAAAATGCAGTGCTTCCAATGCTAAACTTTACTTTGAGGCTTCACGCCAACGATGAGTTTATTAATACCTGGGGTTACTCAACACTTGGGAGTTGTTTTGTCAATTGCGCTATGTCAGGGGGACTCAGTTGGTTATAAAAATTTAAAATAACACTTTGAATGCATATACAACATATGACCTGTTAATATATGGTAACCAACACGTGTCGTTTTGAAAACAGCGTTTTACCCGCATCTTGCAAGATAATGGAATGATCTCAATTGTGGGCATGCCAATACAATGGCGCCATCAAGTCTAGATTGGAAAAGACCCAAGTGTTTTGCAAAGTTCCAAGATATATTGCTAACTGACTGTCCGAATAAATCTCAGAACAGCTGTAAATCATACCTTCTCCTCAACTTCCAGGAAAGAATTGTGCTTAAATCATGCTCAACTAATAAAGTTGAAGAGCCGTGGTCATCGCGCGGCGCGGCGCGGCACGGCACATGTACTAATTTCATGTAAACAAACAATGTATTTTTCACACATTGTGTACATTGATATGGGTCCTATATGAGTATATCAAACAACCTTAACTAACATTAGAATTATATTTCATAAATATTCATGAAACCAATGCAATCTTATTTCTTGAAAAAAAAATTGACTGGTGACCCCAATTTTATTTTTTCATATACATATATGCTATCTTAAAACATTTCCCCATAATAAGGAAAACCTAGAGAACACGTCACTCACTTTTCAATTCAATCCGATTGAACCTAATTAACAATGGATGCGGCTTCCCTGAAACTTTGCTAAAATGTATGTGATTTTTTTTTCTAAGTCTGAAGAAAAAAAGTTGTTGTATTGTGAAACTCACTCAAATGTATGTGTATTGACAATTTCCCAATCCCAAAAAGCTACCAATGTAGGAATTAACACTATGAAGAAATAGCGAGGTCATAGTTTCCATGGAAACAAGCTGTTTGAAACCCATCTGATTTTTATTTGCTCTTTTTTATTATAAAAATAGCAAGAAAATTTTTAAATTTGTTAATGATGTCCATCATCAGACTATATTTTTAAATGATTTAAAATGATTCAGATATCTGAATGGTAATCTTGGTTTAAGTTCCTTCAAAGCAATTAGTATATGTCTGGAATTGTTATTTATTCTAGGCATCTTCAATCAATTTCTAATGAAGGGAAGCACCTACATCGGGTGACTTATAACCCAGGGTTGTGACATTTAACACTCATAGATTATGTATGAAAAACGGTTTAACCTTCGTTTGCAAAGTC